AAAAAAAAAAGCAATGACAGCAAAACAATTTATTCAGTGGCTTGAAGAGAGCTAATAAAATACTAGATCCAAAATACCTTTTAAAAAAGAACATACATGCGGTTTTATTTACTTGGTATCAGCGGACATCATCCTTCTTTGCAAAAAGGCTTACAGGTGAGTTATTTATTCTTCACCTTCTGATCCGGACAATGTGCACTTTTTCATATAATTCCCATTTCCCCTTTTAGTGTCGCCTTCTACTATAATCTGAATACTTTTATATTTTTTTATTACTTATTTTTGATAGAGACAGAGCACAAGTGGGGGAGGGGCAGAGAGAGAAGGAGACACAGAATCCGAAGCAGGCTTCAGGCTCCGAGCTGTCAGCACAGAGCCCGACGCAGCGCTCAAAGTCACAAACCGTGAGATCATGACCTGAGCCGAAGTCCGACGCCCAACCGACTGAGCCACCCAGGCGCCCCTGAATACTTTTAAATATAAAATACAATCATCGAACACGTTAATAATTCCTGCCCATAAGTCACACTCGCTCTGAAATTCAACCCCTGTACTTGGTGTGACCAGAGGAGATTCGGAGATATAAACGACAATAGGAAATGTGACGGGATCATTTTAATGGTTATGAGCAGGTAAAAGGGGTGGGGACACCAGAAAGGATGAGTTAATCCTGACAGACCTTAAAATGATGATGCAGCTCTCATCTGAACGTGCTCCCCATTTAGTTTCTGAAAGCAACCTGATTTAGAAATGAAGGCTCAGGAGCCACACAACGAGGAGATCAGGGTTTGCAGAAGGATTCAAACTTTCAGATGCGGTAAGTCCTGTTTCCAATGCTGCAGGCTTTATATATAAGCCAACTATCATCACACTCCAATTTATTCCTTTTTTTAAAATTTATAAATGTTTATTTGTTTTTGAGAGAGAGAGAGAGAGAGAGACAGAGAGAGAGAGCACGCAAGCAAGGGAAGGCAGAGAGAGAGGGAGATCTAAAGCGGGCTCCATGCTAACAGCCCAGAACCTGATGAGGGGCTTGAACCCATGAACTGTGAGATCATGCCCTGAGCCGAAGTCGGAATAACGAACTGAACCACCCAGGCGCCCCCAATTCTTTTTTTAATGTTTATTTTTATTTTTGAGAGAGAGAGCATGAGCAAGGGAGGTGCAGAGAGAGAGAGGGTCAGAGGATCTGAAGCAGGCTCTAAGCTGTCATCACAGAGCCGGACACAGGGCTTGAACTCACAAACCGTGAGATCATGACCTCAGTCAAAGTCAGATGCTCAACTGACTTAAACTGGTTCTCAATTTAAATGAGGTTATTAAGTAACCACATGACTGACTTTCTGAACGTAATATTAAGGAACTATGAGGAAAGGAAAAATAAAAATAGTAAAAACAATGAGTTCTTCCTGTTTTTGTAGCATGGGATTTTATAGCTGTTTTTATTACAAAGACAAAATTGCAATAAAGTCAAAAGGACTTATTAAATATATGTACATATATATTGCAAAAACATTTGCTTTTCTACCTCTGGTCCTAGTTATGCTCTTTAAGGTACAGTATGTAGTTATATGCTTATTTCTTGTACTTGACTGTACCAAAAGAGCAAATATACCCATCCAATTTAAAGCATGAACATTAAGAGCTCACATTTCACATCAATCTTCCCATACTTTATTACATATAGAACTTACCTCATTAATATTCTAACAAACAGTCCCCCAAATAAAATATCCACAAGTATTTTAGAGAAACATAATTTTATATATTTGTTCTCCAAAAAATATCAATCTTTCACCTGCCCCTAAATTTATTCTACATTATTGAATAATCAGTTAATTCGGAGGTTACTCTGAACTATGTGCACTAAGATCGGGATCTCAGAAGGTTTTCATTTTTAATATAAAATGCACCAAGAACTGTCCATTTGTTGGTCAGCACCTGATACTAACGATGTCAAGTTCACAGGATGAACTGCTTACGAGTAGATCTGCTTTCGACTCAGCAAAACTGGGTTCTGCCATCTCAAACTCAGCCCAGCTCTCAGCCTGTCATGTCAGGCACTGCTCTCAAGGAAAAGACTAGAAGGAAAGTCTTGGCTCACTCGGCAGAAACACTATCCAAAGCATGAGCTCCCAGTGACCTCTCTGGAGACAGACAAATTTAATCCTGGGCAATCTCAAAATGGAGGTAAAAAACCCTGACTTTGAATACTTTCACACCATCACAAGAGATAACAGAATTTTAAAAATTCGTCATCGTAAAATATCAAGAGCTTAGAGCCTTTACCTCGACTCTCCTGGCAACCAAATTCTGAATCCATGAGCAAGCCTACAGACCCTACAGGGACACTCTCATCATTAAGTTAGAGTGTAAACAATGGCTATTTTCTGAAATGGAAGTTATACCCCTACCTTGCCGCTATTGCTGGAAGCCATCAGGTGCCAAAATGTGAAAGCGTTTACCACCATGGCATCTCAGAATACTCCTCTCCTGCTATTATATGGGGTCTTAGGAGAGAGAGAGACACAGAGGTGGTTGTTGTTTTGGTTGACAACTGGCAACAGCCTCTTGGCAGGACGACTGGAAAAGGACGACCTTGGAAAATTATGGCAAGTTGGAAATTACTCTTCTAACAGACTGCTCTTCAGGAAAGCACAGTGCGCCGTCACCTGGAGCATATAATCCGCCTGACCAATCCCTAATTAGCGGGCATTTCTGTATTTGCCACACTTCTGATCTTATACAAGATTGTTCTGTTGATAATCACTATGTTTGCATCTCTGACCATTTCCTTCTGACACATTCCCAGAAATAGAATTGGGATTCTAAAACAATGAACGTTCCCAGAAATAGAATTGGGATTCTAAAACAATGAACGTTTTTTCAAGTTATTTCTGTAGGATGCCACACTGAGTTCCAGAATGTTGGTGCCAACTCACACCCCAACCAGGGCTGTAGGCAGGGACTCAGCTTTCTGTGTGCACAGACCCTGTGTGCATAGACCTGTGTGTGCATAGACCTGTGGGTGCACAGACCCTGTGTGCATAGACCTGTGTGTGCATAGACCT